AATCAATCTGCAGTTGATGTCATGGTGGTTTTCTCATTTATCTGCATGACCAAAAGGAACTCTAAAAAAAAGAAAAAGAAAAGTGAACATAAGAAAGAATGCCAAACTATTTTTTGACAAATGTGACAAGGAAGTCTGTATGCCTGAGAATTGATGAGCATTGCAAAGATTACAATCTGAAACGCCACTTTCCAAAATAGCATCATGATTATGGCAACAACATAATAGCTGATGAAGAGACAGAACAACTGAGAAACATTCTTCTAACTCAGCCAAATGTTTTCGAGAGACAAGCCTTAGTTCTTGAAGTGGCCAAATAAAATAAAATGAACAGGACGCTGGCTTGTTGAGCCCTGAATACCTCAAATATGAAAAAAAAACGTTCTTATAATAATCAGCTAAATCAATCCCAGGAAGAGAGGGTACCTATAACAATCTTGTAATTTACTCATCCAGTTTTTAATTGTCTAAAATCATTATACATCCATGCACTACCAAAGAGGCTTATCCTGGTGAGTGGGTTAATCTGGCAGAGTCTCGAATTGTTCGAATGGAGAAGGACTATCACAACCACTTTTTAGTTTCTTTTTAAGAAAGTGTGACATACTGTATATCCAAAGCTTCTAGATATCTGATCATACATTTATTTCTGTTTATAAAATCTTGATGTTATCTCTCTTTACTGCAGACTTTAAAATGGTGAAATGTCCAACATGTAAATTAATAATTTTGAGAAAATTAAAACAAGTCTAACCCCCCCGGATCTATCATTCCTACAGATGTGAAGTCTGGTAGACAGTGATGTTTTCACTAGGTGAGCCAGTTGGGAGCTTCTGTAATAGACCTGCTTCCACATTTGCATTGCTGGTGTAGCTGTTATTAGTCTCTGCTTTTTTAGGCTTTGTCATTTCACTTAACAGCAGACATGTAGCTGACCTGAAAAAGGGAATGCTGGGATTTGTCAGAATAAGCATCGGAAACACAGTCAAATGCACTATTACTCAGCCCTGTAAAGATCCCAAGGCAGGAAAATCAGAGATGCCCCTGAGATTTAATGAATGGAAGTACTTTGCAGTTCAGGTATGTCCTTTTTGTTTTGTTTTTCCACTTTCCCCTAAGTCTGCATTGTTTTCGTTAATGTGTTCAGTATATTGTGAGAGATAATATTAGAAAACTGTGGTAGTTTGTTTTTAAGAATCAACATCTTTAAAACTACCTCTATATAAAAAAGGACAGTGATTCTCATATATGGAAGAGCAAGTAATGGGCCAATTCAGTTCAAAGAAGCACAACTGGTAATTTTACTTTCGAAACTTGTACCTTTCAATCCAGTAGAGTCATGAGGTGTCTTAATACTAGGAACCAAGGTGCAGAGTCATACATTCATTTTCAGACTGTTTCTGGCGCAGCACAAACCGTGAGGAGAAATGACGATGGAGAGAGATTTTAATTATTAAAGTCCCTCTTCAATATTGAAATGGAGTGGAGTGCCTTTTCACTGATGTTATACCGAGTCATAACATCTCATTAGTATGAACGGAACCAGTGGCATCATTGCAGGGGTCTGTCCCTTCTTCTAAAGTAGCCACAGCACTGACAAGCTCGCTTGATCTTTCGAGTTCCTATATCTCTACTTCAGTATTGCTGTCACCTTAAACCTGCTGGGAGATATATATTGTATTTCACTTCTCCATGGGGACCCCAGTACAGTATACTGCATTCATAGGCTTAAAACTCCAAATGGTGGAATGACTGTGTTTGGTCAGAACTCATTTTTTCTTCATTTTTAAGAAAGAAGGCGAAGGCAAACCTGTCATGATTTTGCAGTAGTTAGGAATCTTTATTTCGCTGCCTAGGGCCCCTGAAAAATGTCTGATGTTTTTGAGCAGCTGGAATTTGAATTGTTATGGTTGAATATTGTTCATACCAAGAGCATCCCTTTTCCTATTCTGATATTCACTGTAAAAGAAGAAGTTGTTCATGACTGTCTTAAAAGCATTCAGAAACACCTGTGTTTTATAGTAGAGTAATAAGTAAGGATATGCTGCTATCACTCTATTTGGCTCTTGAGGGACCTACGGAATAAATTTACTAACATTTTTTACTGAACCGGGCTGTGATATCTTATATCTCTGTAACTGTATCCCCATCACATGCATGCTAACAAATATCACTGGACAAGCTGGTTCTGCTTGTACTGTAGGTAGAGTGTAGCTCAACCCCATCACAGGTCCAAAAGAACCAGAATCACTTCTGGAAAGTGGAGGTGGGTTGTGTACTGGTCAGCATACCGCGCACGGATGCTCTGGTGGATCCACGGCACAAGACCCGACTCTATGATTTCCCACCAGCAGCACTTCTATCACAATATGTCATAGGAATACTGTCAGGATCGTTACTCCTCCTCTTAAGGGCGCTCCAGCCCTTCCTCGTTCTGTCCCATTCCCCACACCTGTTCCTTATTCCAGCCCCTCTTTAGTTCCACCTTTAAAGCCAGACGCAGGTGTTTGCCCGAGGCTTCTCATTGAATCCTGTTTTGTGAGAGCCCGGGGTCATGCCGCATCTGGCTCCGTTATGATTTTAGCTTCCTGTTCCTAATTCCTTGCCCCACCGGTCCCGACCCGGTTCTGGTTTTTAATTACTTTGGATGGATCCCCTGATCTTGGACTCTGCCTCCCGTATTGGATTTCCCTTTCCGATTTTTGCTTGGATTGTTCGCCCCGGACTCAATTCCCCTGGACACCTGCTCACCTCGGACACGCCCCCCTGCCTCCTGACCCACTCCTGCATGATATTTTTCCCTATTGTTTCTTCACCTTCCGGATCGTGTCGTCCGCATAGGGCCCGGAAAGAACTGATCCTGACAAATACAGGACAATAGCATCTATGTTCTGTTGGTGGCCCTTACAGTAGGTCGCTGTGGAGGTTGATAGTGATGAAGAAAATGGGAGATCTCTAACACCATGCCCCATCCCTCCAGTTGCTATATTCACACAATTTCTCTATATTGAGGGAAAACCACAGTGAAGATCTTCCTTAAGGCAATACCATCTTTGTCCGAAGTTGCGCATCACCTGGACGCCCAATTCCTTCAGCGTGCATAGCAGCTATATCTGTCCACCAATCAGCGACCCTTCACCTCAGTCCTACACACTCTAGCAGGGTCCCTCAACTGAGCAACTGGATTCGATGGCTGTATAGTTTGTAGTCTTGAAAGAAGCCTCTTCATATTGTCCATCACAACGCCCCACAAAGTAAATGAGCTCTAAGCCCATGGTGGGAGAATCTTCACTGCTCATGGCCCTGAACCTGTTTCCACTTAGTGTCATGATCGTAAGCCCCTCCTCTTAAGGGCGCTCCGGCTCTTTCTTGTTTGTCTTGAGTTTTTGCACCTGCCTCCTGTTGCAGCCCCTCCCTACAAAAGCCAGATGCTCCCACCATTCCAGGCTCAGCTTTGGAAGATGGACGCCTGGAAGCCCGCCTACCAACGAGTCCTGGGTCCGGGGCTGGGAGCTCCTGGCCCCGTTAACCTTTTTTCATTCCTCCGACCTTTCGCCGGATCCCGCTCAGGCTTTTAACTTCTGGCATGCCTCTGTCTTGGATGGACCACCCGGCTCTGGACTCTTGCCTACTCTGGATTACCCTACGGACTCCCTTTGGACTTGTTTGCATTGGATCACGCCCCGGAGCACCAGCGCACCGTCGACACACGCCCCCTGTTCTTTTTCCAGCCCCGATCCCAGTCTTCTTTCCCCGTGTTTGTTTCACTGCCCTCCGGATTCTGCCGTCTGCATAAGCTCCTGAAAAACACTTCGTGACACTTAGGCTGAAGCTGTACTTTAGAAGTCTATCTCTCAGATCATAAACAAGCCAGCTCTACCTTTGGCTTTCTGACTATATGTAGCTGTGATGAACCTAGTGCGTCTCTCAAGACACATAAAATGCGCAACACCATTGCTGTGACCCTGTAGTTCACCCTTGGACAGTGGACATACGAAAAACTGCATCTTACTCGACCACTTTGGACAAGAATACACCAGACGCCTGATCTCCTTCTGTATTCTTTTGAATGGCACCCCCCTAGCAGACTTCTATATGGTTGATATGTAATCCTTTCCATCTATATTTATCCAATTCTACAACCTTAATGTGCTAGATTCCACACGTTTGCCTGCTTTTTTGTAAGTACCAAAACCAAAACCATCAAGCTCTAGCAGCACAATCAAACTCTACCTGCAGCTGGTTGTCTGCTCTTGAGTGTTAAAGGTACCTCATCCACACAGGTAATGACTGAATTCTGCGTTGTCTCCTCAACCTTATTTTATCAAAAAGATATACAGTCATCAACATTTTTGTGGTCTTTCTTGGCTGATCTTCCCACCCTTTGGGTAAAATGGCATATACTATAGTAGCCTCTGTCACCTCAACGTCAAGCTAAGGGGTAGTCTGCTGAGATGTGGCTGGGTCCCTTCGGACCAATTCCATATATTGTATCAATATCACATCAGTGTCAAGGCACTTCACAATCACTGCATTTGTTTTCAAGGAACCAAGTTTGTAAGATCAGGATAAGATCAGACCCATCATTATATTTCTGAGATTGAGCAGTTAACTACCCTACACAGGTTAGGGTGAGACATAAGAGAGGTGTGTGCAATGATGGACATGAATGTTAATTAGCCCTTCATCCAATCACTACAGGAAAATCCGAACTCTTACTGCTTCTCATTTTATCTTTATACACATACTGTATAATATTTACCTCTGATGAAAACATAAGGTATCTTCACAGTGAAAAAGACTTCAGCAATGATGTCAAAGCAACAAACCAGTTCATCCATCCATCTTCCAATTGTCCCTGCAATAATTGTGAGGGAGTCAAAGCCTTTCCCAGCAAGCAACGGGTGCACGGGAGGGTACACCCTGGACAGGACGCCAGTCTATTGCAGGGCACAAGCAGATGCAGACACATCTGTTCACACCAGGACCAATTTTCCCAGAAGCCAATTGACTTACCAATATGTCTTTGGACTGTGGGAGGAAACTGGAGAACCCAGTGAACACCCACACAAACTCCACGCAGATAGTACCCCAGGTCTGGAATTGAACCAGGGGTCCCAGCGTAATGCTACCCACTCTGCTACCATGCTGTCCAACAAGCCAGTGAATAATGGTAAATGCAGTATTAATTTACTGACCCATGAAGAATTTAGCCCTAAGATACATACTTCGCACGACTTTACTGCGTCTTTTTATAATTGAATAAAATGATGGGGGGTTTTCTTGTTGACAGAAATTTCTGCTTTTTGTAGTCTTACGAGTCTGTGTGTCCAACAACCAAAACTGCTTTCTCAGGCGCTAGCAGTGACCACTAGCATTCCATTGATATGGATCACAAGGAAGGTTAATGTACAGTATTTCTGGTTTTGTTGTCTTTATGTATGTTGGTTTTTTGGGTTCCTAACCTGTAGTTCTCTTCCAGGCACTCCCGTCATTGGCTTAGGAAATGTAATTAATTTTACAACTGAAAACTGACTTTGATTAGTTTATTGCTGCATAATTAGAATGGGTGTACAAGCGTCAACAAAAGCATTTCACTGAGTGCGTGAATGTTTATTTAGAAAGCGGGTCCCTTGAGGCTGGGATGTAACCGAAGCGCTAGGAGAAATCCAGTACAAGCACAGGAAGGACCTGACTCTTCAAAACGGACACCCCAGTCAGTGTGAAAAGGGATGGATCATACAACATAACAAACCAAGCCTTTAAAACAGATTTCTCACTTCTGTCTTACTAATGAAAATGTAGATAAGACATTTTATATATATTTACTGTATACTTTATAGCTTTTTCAATGCCATTTTAATTTACTTCTCCAGTCAACTTGCTGGCAATAACATTTCAGAAGTTTCTAGAATCCAAGTTTGCTGAAATCGTCAGTGTGGGAAATATCAAGCTAATCCCAAATATGTGAGAATACACTCACAAGAATTCAAGCAAACAAGGAAATAACATCACCTGTTTTTCTTATACTTCTGTACTAGCGTGTCTTTTCTTCATCTTAGAGCGATTTGGTTAAGTTATTGGAATGAAAAACAATTATCGTTGGGGGAAAAAACAAGTGCATGTTTTATTTTTCTTGCCCTTTTTTTTAGATAGCTAAACACAGCACAGATGACAGGAACAAGCTGGTGGTGGAATTGATCTTCTTTGAGCCTGAGAGTGGCATGCCTAAGCTTTTGGGCAAGATGACCTTAAACCTTCTGGATATCGTGCATGTGAGATACAGTACACTGTTTCTGGGTTTTGCGTGGGATTTCTGTTTTACAAGGCAGAGATGGGACAACCCTATGGTCTATTTACAGCAGGCGGGTATGGAATGTTGTCAGAGACTTGCTAAAAAAACACTTGCTCTAATTGCTGACAAAGGTGCTTCTACCAGACATTGAGTAGGCCTGAATATGTACACAATCAACATATTTCCGAGTTGTCTCTTTACCGTTGGCTGACATTTACTGTAACTTGTCTTACCCTTAGATGTTTTCAGCATCATTCTGAATAAATGATTAAGTTTGATAAAATGTCTATGGGTTTTATGTGTAATTTCACAAAATGGGACACCTCAGGATCCGTCTGAATACTGTATGTTTGCAAGACACTGTATTCTGTTACCTTTACGTTGAGAAATTAAATGTAATAAACTACTTTGTGCAATACATTTAAAATCATAGGCTATGTCAGTGGAAAAATGTAACTTAATCTGTTTTATACAACCAGACAAACAGAATGTGAGTAGAGTGGGATTAATAAAATACAACTGTATTTTCAGAAAATGACATTCACCGAACTTCATGATTTGAAGCTTAAAGGACAGGTAACCGGCTTTTCAGTTACTAAGATGTTGACAACTATAAAATTCTGTATTTAATAGAATATCTTGATATCTTTTTTTGAGATGTGAGGTTAAATTAGCTTAATACATGGAGTTTCACGATCATTCAGAAGGTCCTGAATAAAGCATTTGAATCAGTTTATGAAATGAAAAGAGAGAGTTTGGTGTTAAAAGAAATGAATCCATTCATTCATGGGATTCCCATATACTGTAATAATAATAATAATAATAATAATAATCCTTGGGCAAAGAGTTCCAGAGCTTGGGGGCATAGCAGGAGAAGGCCCTGTCGCCCATGCAATTTAGACGGGCTTGGGGGACAGTAAGGAGGGCAGAATTTGAAGAGCTGAGGTTGTGAGGTGGGGAGTAGGGCGATAATAGTTCAGGTGTCTGTGAATAACATTTATATTTCAGTGCAGTAGTCCTAATAATAATGACAACATGTGCAAAATCCTTCTATAGTTTTTGACATGCAAAGACATGTGAGTGTCCAAGCATTACGCTGAAGTCTATACTGTATAAAAATACTAAAACTCTAACATAATCATTAATCATAAAATGCAATTCCACATTTTCAAGCCACATTCTCCTACCAGCTCTGCTGAAGTTCCCACTTTCACACATAATTGGGTGGAGCAGTGGCTCTGTGGCTAAGGATCTGCACCTGTGGCTGGAAGGTTGCGGGTTCAAATCCTGCGTCTAGCAGAGGAATCCTACTCCCCTGGGCCCCTGAGCAAGGCCCTTAACCCCAACTGCTCCAGGGGTGCCGTATAAACAGCTGACCCTGTGCTCTGACCCCGAGCTTCTCTCCCTGTCTGTGTGTCTCATGGAGAGCAAGCTGGGGTATGTGAAAAGATAATTCCTAATGCAAGAAATTGTAAAGGGTTAATAAAGTGATGTTGTTGTTGTTATTATTATTATTAATGCTGTCTGATATAAGGCTCCTTGTTGCTATTCTTTTCACTGCTATTTAATTTTCCTCCACATACCCCAGACCAACTTTACATCAGAAAGTGGAATTCCTGGAGTACAGCCCAGTGCTGTTATTTAGCTTGTTTATAAAAGCCTTAAATAAAAAAAAGATGGTATACATGCAAATGTTATTTATTATTAGGATGTTATCACTTGTATAGCAGACACCCTTTTCAAAGGTGAGTGACAATACAGAAAAACTTATATTAAGTGGAAGTGGAAGCAGATAGTATAGATACAGAGCAATATTTTAATTGGTTTAGGGTCTAATGTGGACAATATTAAATAAGAATTTATAGATAATACATTATACATTTTTATTATTATATTTAATGTCTTAATGTGTATTTTGCATTAACTTTTAATATGTGATTTATTGTTATGGTTTTGTTTTTAATTTGCACATTTCTAACAATTAATCTCAGATGTCATTTTTTAACTATGGTTATATAACTGAATGCTTAGAAATCCCTCTCTCTGCAAATGCAGATAATATGGTAAAGCAGATACCATGTAGAAGTATGTAATAACTGTTTTTATCCTTAAAGGTTATTTGTAAGATTGAGCTGGAGATCTCTTTCACCTATGGGTCCTTGGGATATGGATATTCGCATCAGGTATTGTACCCAGACTCACAAGACCTGTACTATACTCTTTTCACCATTTTCACTCTTTTTAATCCTGTACTTTCCCAACATCTGGATCTGGACTGGATCCTAACTGGAATCCAAGATCTTCTCCCCCTAACAAGAAAATTAATATTACTGATTCCAATTTGTAGAGAGCAGAGTTATTTGGATCCAGATCTATTGTGTTCGATATCTGTCTCCGTTTTGCATCCCATTAATTATTTGCCGGGGACTTTGTTATAATTAGTTTCTTCTATTATCACAACTGATTTTTTTCAAATTTCTATTCTTCAAAAGATTTCATCTACTCCATCTATAGATGTTTAATGTATATTCAATTAATAATCAATTAACATATTTGTTAAGTTCTGTATACTGTATATAGATATGTATTATGCATTCATTGCAAAGCATATAGCATATTTTAAAGGTACTTTAGCATGATTACTAAATACAGTATCTACAGATACAACATATGATAATAATGCGTCATCTACTGTATATGCACTTGCTATACTGTATATTGATGCTCACCAATTAACTTGTGAACATCACAGAGTATTTTCTACTATTACTTCTATTTCTTGTAGTTTGTTACTAATAAATCTAACATTAAGATACTAATGTGATGACATTTAATAACCTGATCCTTTGATGTTTTGGTTTTGAAGCAAAAGGCTTTAAAATACAATCATTCAATCACTCCTAATATTCCCAATTACAAGCTAGATTGACCACATCGAGCAGAGGGAGAAACAAGACTATTTTTCAGGGAGTTTTTGAATTTTTATTTCAATAGTGATGAATGGAACAATGATGCATGTTTAAAGGAAGAGCCAAAATAAAGAACTCATGCAGGACAGATAGTGTTATGTTTTTTAGTGTCACAGAACGATATTTAATATTACTTGGTAATACAGTTCTGATCACAGTGAAATGCATCAACTATCTTAACAAGAATATAATACAGGAAGTCTGGTTCTAGAGTTTCAATGTTTCATGCTCTTTCCTAGCTGAGACACCCACAGAAGGACCTACAAACAATAGCGGAAAGATCACAATTCTTAAGGATCTTTCCACTGGAGCAAAGAAAGGACCCACACTTGTAAGACAACGTTTTCTGTCTCCGCAAGCTGTATCCATGAGAATCTTTAAGGTGGGGCACAGTATTGCATATTACTTAATTTGTACATGATGCAGTTTCAACTTTGCTTTCAGTAATGTGACCACCGGACGGCCATCGGAGTACCCAGAATTCCTGTCTCCTCATTTAAATGTACAAGTTGGAAGCCCAGCTAAATCTGAGCACAATATCTTAAGCTCATCTCCAGTGGAAGACCTTTCCACTCCTAAAATGTCTCAGATGGTTCTAGAAATAATGCAGACTAGGAAAAGGTAAAGTATAGTGGTAGACTTAATAATCACCAATTTCCTTTCAGAAAGTGATTCATAGCCTCTAAAGCAAACTGTTATAAAATTGTATGACCTAACATGTTGCAGCCTACCATAGACATCAAAGTTTCTATTTAAAAGTGTGGAATTGTTATCACAATGAATGAACATGATTTTTTTACAAATCCATTTGTGACAATTGCAGCATTCACTTCTCTGATAATTGTAATAAGGGAATTATTGCCAGATCTGTTTCTGTGATGCCTGCTAGGCTGAAGGTCGTCTGCTGTCATCTGCTCTTGACAGAAAACATTTCTGACTCCTGCTATACTCTCTTAACAGGACAGTGCCCTCTCAAGTCATTACAAGCAGCATAGAGTATGTTTCGTAGGGTGATAGTAGTCACCTTTGTAATCTTACTGTCACACCCCACACTCTCCCTCTCAAACAGCCTTGCATTCCCACTGTTTCACAATCTCATTCCTAATTGAACCCATCACATTCCCACATGCACCAGATTCCTCAAATTTTCACTCCCAGACCAATTATCCAACCACATCCCTTTTCCTTCAGTATTTGAAGTTCCCTCACACACCAACCCTTGCTCACTATTGAGAAGTCTCGTGTCTCGTGTCTCGTGTCTCGTGTCTCGTGTCTC